TCATTATACTCAACTTTAATATATTATTTATTGAGAGAAAAGTTTCAAATTGTAATTTTAAACTTGTGGGTTGTGTTGAAGTCCCGCAAAAATCAACATTGTAAAAGGATCGGTGCTCTTTGGTTATAAGTCACTGAAAGCTTTGTAAAAAGGGTTGGATTGCACCATAAGTCAATCAATATAATGAAAAAAGCCTTGCTCGGGACGGAGAGCTTAGCAACGGAGGACGTAAATCGGTTAAGTTGGATCAAACCTCCTATTAAATCGTTTGCATTCTCCATCCCTTTTACTTATTAGCTTTACATCATCTTCATTATTCATTTTCGTATTTGTGCAATAGATACATCTAGAATTGATTCTCGAAAAAGTTTATAAAACCAATTCACCACCTTCTTGATTAGTCAATCTTGGGCTTTCATTATGACTATTATAGGATTTATATTCAATCATATATGATATCTAGGTTCTATCTAGTGTCCATTTATAGAAATAGAATAGTTATAGTTCTTATACAATAAAAATTCCACATTCAAATAAGAATTCTATTTGAAATCGAAGTAGGAGATTTAATTAAGTTTAAATCCAATTAGTTTACATTTAATCACATGCGTAGTCTTAGAACTTCAATTACAATTATAATTAAGTTTACAATTTTTATAGTAATTACTGTTCATTTCAAAACTTTATTACAATCACAAGTAAGTCCAAAACTATTATAATTTTCGTAATTAAATTTCAATACTTTATACGGCTACAAAATGGACATGATAGGACATATATTATCCAAGGTCCAATAATTAGATTCTATCTTCTCGACCCTAGATCATCCAATCTAGTTATTAGTCTTTGCTTTTTCACTAAAGGAAAAAGACTGAACTCTCAGAATATATAAGAACACAAAAACCAATAAATCTGTAACACTTTTCTCTCACCTTTATCCACATCCGAGATTCAATAGTTAGGCATGAGCATGAATGGCTGTTTTGTCCTCTAATTATGCTTACTAACTTAAATACAATTTTTTTCAACGGTCCTATAAACTAATTATAGATATCGAAATTTAGTCGTGTTAAACATTAAGCTCAAATTTTAATCGCTCAACAAAAATACTTAAACTCACTCTACCCATTTTTTCGAGTGACGGTTCACAAATGAATTCATGTTCTCTACTTCGCTCATTCTTAAGTTCCCAATTTATCGAGATATTTGATGAATCAAATTGATTTAACCTATTGAAGAATCAATGCACCATTAAAATCACGAAAAGATATATATAGCCTTGTCAAAGAATTTAGATGAAATACACAACAATAAAGTGAAAATTAATTTCTCACACTATCATGCAATAGAATAAAATTTCTACATGTGGTCCGTTCAATACATACCAATGTCACCTTTAACTATTTCTATGAAGAGGACAAATCACAAGCATGAATAGTGAATCGATCAACACTACAACCTTCTAGTACAAGGTGTCAATTCTTATACATTAGTTGCGAATTATTTATGATCAAAATATAAATTGTAACACACTATACTTCTCAACACAAGTACCCAACTTATATTATCACAATTGATCACAAGCACTTTAATTCGCATGTTCAATAAAAAATAAATGTAATAAATAAATAAAACTGTAATTATTTTTTTATAAATTATTATTTTATCATAACAAAATATATTATATAGGCGCATAACCCAACAATGTCTTTTGCATAGCACTCGAGAGTGTCTCATGGGCTGCATCTTATAACAAAATTGACATAAATTACGCATGAAATTATGCTAACAGTTTGCTATCTAATAAAAGTATGCTATCATTTAAAAATAAATTAACAATTTGATAAATTAGTAGCCCTCTAAATTTCAACAAATCCCAAACAGACACAAAAATTGGGAAAACCCAACTTGAATTTTTATTTTTTTAATTATTTTTTCCCCTATGGAGAAAACAATTTAAGCATAGGGACATGAAATTTAAGTATGATATTGGCTACCTGCATTTTCGTAGCTTTTCAAAATAGATTTATGAAACTTTCCTTTTATTTCATTTTTACAAAGAGATACATTGAAATTTAGACGTCGAATATTTGACATTTAAAAAAAAAAAAAAAAAAAAATTCTCACTGTTTAACGTTCACCATGAACAGTGATACCTTGTCCATCCAATTGTCTTGTCTCCTGCCTATGTTCCAACCAGTAGTAAGCAGCTAACCTCCTGCCTGCATTGTACTATAGTAAGCAACGAATCACTCGTGCAAGAGAGTCCCCATGATATAGAGAAGGTGATTCAAAGCCAGACCCCAGCCAGTAAGGAAGCAAGGTTTTAGAAGTAATTCGCTGGAGATATAATTTCATACAGTAATTAAGTTTTTTTAAGCCAACCTGCTAATCCCTAGATCTAGAGATAGATAAAGAAATAGATGTTGCAGCAGACCGATGATGGATCGAAGGTTGTTTACCCAAATTCAGAGGAGCTGAGACGGCAAACTAATAACTTATCTTTTTCCTTTCCGTTTGTGGCTGAGGAAGAAGGGATTGATCGACCAATCCGATCCTTCCAAGAGAACAGATAGAGAACTCTTCTGGCTGGTTCAATAAATCTGCTCTTTTCCATTCAAACAACTCACTCATTCAATAAGAAAAAGACGAAGAAGCCGACCACGAGCTATTTATTTGATTTTGACTCAATTTGCTTAACGAGGAAAGAAGCATAGTCGTCAAGCTGCCGAGAGAGTTCCTCTTGAAGTAAGTCTCTCTACGTAAACCTAATCGAGCTTACAGCTCTCAACTAACATCCATCTTACCATATCAATCAATATACTAACAACTCACTAGAAAACCTAACCAGACTGATAAAGACATAGGTTTTTTTCCCGAAGAGAGGGCGTGACTTCTAACTTTTTTTCCCTAATAACATTTATACATATTTACAAAATACTTGCATATAAATTTCAATAAGCCACATAAAAGTAAACATGTGCTATGATATCAAGCTGTAACGCCCCATAATTTATTGACTTAAAATTTGAGGTGCAATGATATCATTTCATAAATTGTGTTTAATGCTATAAATCCTTAATTCTTCTAAATTTCATAATCAAATAAAATAAATTCAAATATAAAACATATAAAATATCCTGACAATTATTATCTACTAATTGTTTTTTTGAAATTTTTACTTGGCAAACTAATGCATCGTTCAGCCACCATTCCAACCCGATTGATCTAATCTAAAAAGTTAAAATTTAATGGAGCTAATATTTTATACTCAGTAATATACGTACAATCCAAAATCAATATCATAAAATTTAACGTAAATTACGACATTTCATACCACCATGTCATTAAGAGGAATCAAAGATCAATGGAATACTCTAAAACATTTCTATGTAAACATTTGAGAAATCAGAAGAAAATCTCATATTTCATTTCATTAATGACCCAATTTGCACTTCATGAATAAATTTATGTAAAATATATAATATAGAAAAGATAATTCTACTTGCACATAGTATCATATACTTACCGGATCAAAGAAAATGTTGTAGAATTTTATTTTTATTTTTAAATACGGGCTGCACTCTTTTCATTTAAAATTTTGGACAAAGTTTTTAGTGCAAGTATTTATGGTGTATATAAAAGAAATAAATAACCCACACAATAAGGTAATTATACAACATGAATTCATTTTGGATTTTAAATTGAAATATTCTAGTTTTTACATCTCCACGGTCACTTAAAAATAAAAATAAAAATAAAAATAAAAAATAAAAATGGAACACACGCAAACAAACATATTATCCACATGTCAAAAGAAAAGAAAACAGAATTTGGTAACAGTGATTTCAATCAAAATAACAGATTAGATTGGATTAAATCAAAGATAAACGTAATTATATAATATAATATTACTTTCTTTTTGCTAACTATTTCAGATTTATATTATTAAGTAATGAAATAATATCCGCTAAATACGTTTACTTGAATCATAATAACTTCGACTTAACTTTTAGGATTTTACATTTTTCTTGAGCCATAAAATGAGCTCAATATTCATATATTTTTTTCTTCTACAATACTTAAATATTTAGTCCAAACAAAATAAAATAAATGGATTGAACGATCACACTATCTTATGGACTTTAATGAGATTGACAAGATTAATACGTAAACGAGTTTCTATTTTCTAAATGATCAAAGATAACATAATAAAATTAGGTAGTTTTATTTCTGAAACAAATAAAAATTATTCAAAATATTACGATACTTGGCCTTGGGGGATAAGATGAGTACATTTCCAAAATGAATAGTACATATAATATAACGACTTGAACACGAGACCCAAATCGTTACACTTGTATCGTAACTAGAGTGCATAGTTAGTCTTTAGAGAATCATCACGAACATGTATGATTTCTTTTTGAACAAATATTTACATATAACTATCACTTTGTTTCCTCGCTAAGCATCAAGGAGCCATGGCCGGGATGTCTTCCGACATCTCTTCAGATATGTGTTGTAAACAAAGATTCAAGTCCAGAGGAGTAATATGAGAAGTGGAGAAGCTGCCTTCAAAAAACCCAAGACTAAACGTGACATTTATGCAACATTATCAGACCCAACAAGAAGACGGAAAATTCTCGTGTTTCCTATAGAAATACTATAATGGGACGCAAGAAAATTTAGCAGAAAATTAATGCAAGAAGCATATATCTACTTTTATACACCAGAATATTTGTGCATCAGTAAGAGTATTTTTCTTGCAATATCAATAGTATTGATGACAACCGTCAACCTTCAAAAGCAACAAATTATCTGTAGATATAATTACAGGAATAAAAATTACACTGTTGAGGCAATCGTTCCAACATACATGCATAAGGCAGATTGAAAGTTTCAATTTATATGCTTTGTTTCCAAGATTCAGGTGCCAGGATTGGGTCCAAAGGTGGAAATAGGGGGACCGTACGAGTATCTCCATTCCCCACAAGCCATGCATCTCTCAACCTCAATGCTATTATCCAGGGTACAAAACTTGCAAGACCAGACCTTTAACTTCTTGTCTCCGTTGCCTCTATTCTTTGGGGTTCCACGAGCTTCACATGTAAGAGCTAGTGACTGCAATAACGAAGTTAGCACATTGGCAGCAAAATAAGAAAAGAAGACAAACAGACCGTATCAGTAAAAGACTTATCCCCAAGCCTCTGAATCAACTGAAATCGGTGAAGAGAAAAGCGATGTACATATTCATACATGTAAATGTAAGAAGCAGGAAGAATTGCTAATGGATGGGAATCTAATGGGATTCTAGATGATATATTTCATGAAGATTTTTCAAATTGTTTATGTAATTAGAGTTTTAGCAAACATAATTAGTGAATTATTTAGAGTATTTTCCTACTTCAAATAGCATTAGTTTAAACCCTATATAAAGGGGTCTATGCAATGTAATTGGTACAACCTTTGACTATGAAATAAATTGTTCTTCACCCATTTTCTCTCTTCCTCTCCCCCTCTTCTTCCCTCTTTTCCCCCTCCTTCCTCTTCTTCTCTCCCCTTTCCCCTTCTCCTATAATTCTTCTATAGCATCCGGTATCACTGGGGAAGAAACGTTTCGGGCTCTCAGGGAAGACAGATCTGTGAGAGAGTACCGACAGCACTTTGAAACAATGGCCACTCCATTAACAGATGTCTCAGATGCGATTATAGAGGCCCATTCTATAAATGGGGTCAATCAGATATTAAGGCCAAAATCAGGGTTCTAAGACCCATTGGGCTGGAACAATTAATGGATACAGCCCAAAGGATTGAAGAGAAAAATACTGGGCAACTTACAAAAATACCCTTAAAATTAGAGATCTTTTCAAAAATCATATGAAAAGTATTTTAGAAGTTAAAAAAAAAAAAATAGTGTTAAATTAAGTGTCACTTTTTTATAAAAAAGTGACATGTTACTTTTTATTAAAAAGTGATATACAACTTTTATTAAAAAGTGATGTTTGTCACTCAAAAAGTGACAGAAAAATGGCAAACATTTTAAAAAAGTGACAGAAATTCAAGAAAAAAGTGAAAAACATTAAAAGTGGCAAAGATTAAAAAAGGGACAAAACACTAATTAAAACTTTTTTTTCTAAAATATTCTAATTAATCCGAATACAAAAACAAAAAATGTATCCGCAAAACTCAATTGCTAGAAACCAAAAAGGGAACAACAAATCTCAAATAAAATACTGGATGAACAACCTATTGCCGATGGGAAGCGTCCCATGGGGCACCACATGAATTATTTCCTCACAAATGCTCACTTGAATAAGAGCTTTCTATATCTTCGGCAAGACAACCCTCATCAGTGTCTTCAGATTTTTCAATAGTTCCGTAGCATATTATTGATTCCCCAGAATCAGATTCACTGTCGAGACATGTTTTCATCTTCAACCCTTAACGCATGGCCCTTTAGTGAATCACTGGAGTAGATACCATTAGGTAGGTGAATTCTGTCTCCAAAAATGGCTGGCAAGCCTATTTAACCATTATCTTCACTCTGCATAGGTGACTTCCCTTTCTGATCACTACAATTGCCTGTTGACTGCCCATGAGGATCTAGAAATTGTACTTTTTCATCAAACTTTCAATCTTAGTAATCTGCCCTTGGGAGATTGGAATATCTGTAGCATAAAACAGAATATATTGTGGACTGAAAAGAAAATTGAATTAGAATTAGCTTTTTCCGGTGCTCTGGCTCTCACCTCCATTTCTTGGAAAAATTATGCAGGTTCTCCACCTGATAAAATCGATCCCTCTGTGAACAATAAATTCAAGTCTCTCTGCATTTGAATATATAGATGCTGGTGTATATCTGTGTATGTTTAAGCAAGAACTTTGACAGAGAGCGAAGAAAATTTATCGGCGCAAAGATGGTGAAGAAATTGGCTGGGCAGTTTGATCAATTTGAGGTCTTATCAACGTAATAAACAGGGTGTTGGAAGGAATTTTTTATTTTTTTATTTTTTTTATAATAAAAAAGAGTAATGGGCCTAATTTCCTCAAAAATACTGTGCTCCATAACTGATGGACAGCATCTGGCACAGTTAAAGATAAAACCCCATTTAACGCAACCCAGTCTAGTGTTCACCTTCAAGTGCCTTCTCAATTCAATTTCAGTCCACTCCCAAATTTATTTATTTTTTTGATAAGTAAAAGATATTGAACAACGGAAAAGTAAAGGAAAAAAGTCCACTCCCAAATTCCATCCCTAAAGGTGTAATTCCTGTGGGAATCATACCGACTGATACCAACAAGGCGGCGATTCCGCCATTTAAAAGACTGAGTGAAGCTGAATTGCAAGGTAAAAGAGAGAAAGGGCTCTGTTTTCACTGCAATGAGAGAGATACAATCGGGCATCCATGTAAGAATAAGGAGCTATATATCATGGTGATCTGCGGCGAAGAGGGGTTGGAATCCGAAGAAGAGGAAGCTCCTAAAATCTCACCTCCACTCATTAGATGAAGCTTACTAGCAGGCCAACCTATGTAACATATCTTACTGTCTTCGCCAAGCACATTATACGTTAAGCCTACCACCCCAATTCCAACAGTCACGTCCCAAGTCTAGTTGTGTTACTCCTCACCATAAGAAAGAAATTGAAGTTTTTATTGTTGAGCCTACTGAATATCTGAATAGCGAGGATGATGAATTATCTACAGTGTTGACACTGAAGCCAAACAATTCACTTGTCCTTGACTTCATGCCGAAATTGTTAGTCTACTCCTGTGCGTGACTATAACATTGATTTTGTTGTGGCATTATCTCAACTGCATGATACTTCTCAGGTTACCATGTTTACTAAGACCATTGTTAGAACGCATACTTTTCATATCGACTTTCGATTGTTGCCAAAATATTATCGTCATATTGTTTTAGCTCTGACCACCATTATCCCTTTTCCCTAATTTACATGATGAAATGACATGCAGAATTTATTTGAATAGTGAAAGTTATGAGTTCGATTTTGACGCACAGTTTAGGCACAGATGCTTTCATGATAATTCCTATGCTTTCTTATGTGTTTCTTTGGAATGATTTTTGAAATATGTAAAAAGAAAAAGGTTTTGGATCTCACAGTTGAAATTAATCAATTAGATTTGCTATCAAACTTAAATGAAATTTTTATTTTCAATACAACAAAATCGTTTCATTGCCGAGACACATTCAAGCTACCAGTGTTGCAATCATTTGTTTTTGCAAGTCAGTCTCCCATGCTAGTGCTTCACGCTTTTGATGTAAACTCTGTGGTCGTTTTTGTGGATGTGCTGCACAAGTGTTACTTTTTGGAGTTTCTTGTCGCTACTTAGTTAGAAGGAAAGATCATTCTTCCTGGTCAAATCATATCCTTGAAGATAACTTGCAAATCAAGTTGTTGTCATATGATTGGTTTCATAATTTGGTTAAGAAGATTAACTTTCTTGACTAAGAAGTTATAGTCTATCTCCCAGAGTCGAGTTCTTCAATTGGTGAGAAATGATGGGATCCTAGTAGATATATTATATGGAAGACTGTTCAAATAGTATCCGTAATTAAGGTTTTAGCCCCTGTTTGGTGCCACTAAAACATATGAATAAAATCTAAATCAAAGTGAACAATTAATTTTAATCACATTTCATAGGATCCACTAATTTTCATCACAAATTCCATCAATTTTTATCAAAATTTGCTAAAAATCTAATTATAATCTTTACCAGATATGGGCTTAGATTCTCTAATAATTTAGAAGATTCTCTAGTATTTTATTAGATTCTTTAGTATTTTAATAGTTGTTTCTTATCTAAATTTGATAGATTCTAAAGCATTTTAATAGTTGTTCAGAATCTCATGAAGTTAAAGAACAAGTTCATACTACAAGGATAAACCAGTATCATATAAGCCAAATGTCGACACATAGTTGAGATGATATGTGCACTGGTCATCTTATAACTAAAGCTTTGAACGCAAGAGAATAAACAACATATTCATATAGATTAAAAGGATAGAAATTAAAGAATCTTGCTGGAACCAAAAGCCAGATTTTATAGAATAAAATTGACAAACGAAGCAGAGAAACATTACCTGATTTAGTAAGGTACATGAGGAGCACTGCCACATTAGTTCGCCATCTTTCTTTCCCTGTGATACAGATCCAATGGCTGAAGTTTGGACAAATCTATCATCTTGTACAGCTGACACTTTGGAGTCTCCAGATGGTCCACCACTCTCTGCTGATTTAGATCCACACCATACATCATCATGTAATCTTCTTTCAGCAGCCATAGCAGCTGCTTGAACTGGACTGAGTACAGCTCTAATGCTGCTATCACCACCAAGACGCTTAGGCCCATGGGTCAATAATGCTTCAAGTTTTGCTCTGTTTTCCGCAGCAGCCAGTGCTTTCTGACGCAATACATGCAAAGGAGGTTGACGGGAAAGTCCACCCAATCGTCTCCCAGGAAGATCAAATCCTTGCCCGGTGCCAGCGATGCCTTTGGCAATAAGTTCTTCACATTCCTACAGAAGATGTAAACTTTATCAGTCAAAAAGTGACTGCCTTGTTAAACAGAGGAAGAAAACTCTCCATACCAGACCGTTGTATAAACTAGTGCAGATTGTGGTATTCTGAGTAACCATATTCATTAATTAAACAATAGTAATCTCGGGGATAATATAAAGGTCCACTGGATGAAAATCTATCTATGAATAAGATAATAAAAAAAAAATTGTCTCCAAAGCACAAATAAGCAATAACAAAAATTGCGCACAAAATTTTCAAAATATGATAAGTTAAGTTCATAACCTTCCTAATTTCATCCAAAAGGTTGTAGAAATCAGCATTATGAGGACCGTGTTCGATATGGCAAAGTTCATGAAGCATGGTATCAAGAATCTGCTCATAAGGGAAGAAATCCCACTCATTGTTTGGCCTCCGGAGTCTAAGCTTAATCTCAGCACCTCCTCCAATGTTCAGCCCCAAAAGAGATGGATTGGGCGGACTGCAAATTAAGTATCTAGATGAGATTATTGAAATGGCCAACAAAGGCAAGATTTAAAATGACTAGTGAAGTATAAGGAATCCTTGTTCATACCAAAATTCAGAAAGGATCTTCACTCTCCACTTTCTTTTCCTCATAATTGGTTGCACTTGCTTTGCTATTTTTTCAAGAATTTCCTTTGCCTCATCTTCCCGTACCTTCTTTAGTGGTTTGACTTCCCAGACCTTGTTAAGATCATTCAGGTCCATGATGACTGCAAAGCCTCAGCCAAATTAACCAACAGGAAGAAAGTTTATACGTAACTAAAACCCATAATTTCATATTCACGTTGGTTTAAAAGTGCATCTAATTTACTCAGTAAGGCTTTATTAGTATAATCACAACTGATTAACAGTAAAATAAACCAATTTAATATAACAGCAACATAATTTTACTTATCCATTATCATATTGTGACTAAATTATTGTATACCAAATGCTTCAATAACCAGAAAAATCAAAAAAGAATTATTTCTTTTTACTCCTATTTCTAAAACCCATTATTTCATATGCTACATGTACATTATGCTACATGTAGCATAATTTCATATTTCTAAAACCCATTATTTCTTTTTACTCCTATTTCTAAAACCCATTATCCATTTCGGATTATGCTACATCTACATTATAGTATCCATAAGGGTATCCATAATGTACAAGTAGTATAACATCATTTGAGAGTTGAAAAATAGTTTTTCATCCATGTACATTATGGACACCTTTATGAACACAATAATGTACACGTGGAATTATCCATTTCATATTCTGGTTGAGATTCAACCCTACAGGAAAAAAATTAGATATTTTTTGAATATTAGTTCAAAAGTGCATCTAATTTGTACTATAAGGCACCAAGGCTTATTAATTTGCAAATTTTGGAAAACCACACCTTATTAACTGTAAAACGTAAAATTCTACTGCAACAGAAATAAGATTTTTCATTTCGATTATCATATTGTGATTAAATATCACATCCAAAAAAATAATTATTAAAAAAAAAATTACCACAGAACTAATATTTTTACTCCTATAACTGAAACCCACAATTTCATATTCATGATGGGATTCAACCCTATAGGTAAAATTTGAATCTTTTTTTGCAATATTAATTAAAAAGACATCTAATTTATACAGACAGGCTTACAAATGTGCAAATTTAGTATAACTAAAACTAATTAATTATAAACTGCATAAATTAATCTAACAAAAACATGATTTTAATTTTCGAGAATACGGTCGCATCCCAAAAATTTTATTAAGGGAATATTATTATAGAACGGCTTGATTTTAATTCTATTTTCTGAAAATCAAAATTTGAAATTATGGTTAATCAAAAGTGATTAATGGCAATACCTGTAGGAATGTAGTTTTGGAAAATCCCAAATACTTTGCAGCCAAGTAATGAAATTGAGGATGACGACTTTTAGAGATATAAAAAATAGTAGAAATTTTACTGGAATGACGGATGATGCAGAGTACTAAACAGTTTGTGGCCCTCTTCGAAGTCAATGGAGGAAGACACCGAGAAAAAGTCTTTTGTTCAGCCAGGGGATTTTATTTATTATTTTTTATTATTTTATTTTTATTTTTGGGAACGAGTTGGAATGGCCACTGAAAACATATTTGTTCAAATGACCTTTTATCTTAAATAACAAAATAAAAGAAATTTTAATTATTTAAAACTATCAAAAGACCCCTTTTACCCTGTCTTGTAAAATGACAATGAAGAAAGAGTTGGTGATTTTTTATTATTCATCACATGAAAACCTCCCTTGACTGCAAACTTCTTCTTCCCCAAAATCTGATAACCTTCTTTTCCTTCAAATTCATCTCCTTTGACATTTGAACTCCCCATCTCTTCTTCTTCTGCTTCAAAAGTTCACAGATTCTTTCACGATTATCTATAGCAAAATTTTTGCCTCTCCATCTCCCACTCTCTGCATGAACAAGTTTGTCGCCCCTATCTGACCTTTTCTGAGCCATGAGCAAATATATTTGTATATGTATGCTAATTTATGAATTGATGACGATTTGTGAAAGTTTAGATACTTTTTTTGTCGAACGTTGGGTGTGATTAATTAGCTACTGAAAGTAGGGTTTTTTTTTCTTTTCAATCGAGTTGATAATATACCTTCTATGACGTTGCCAAAAGTGTCCTATGAACTATGTATCTTAACCTAAAATAATATGGAAATCTGTGTAGATAAACTATTTTCTATAAATCCTTGTGATGGAGATTATATTCCTAAGAATGTGTTAATCCCCGGCAATTATTTTGACTAGTCTGTTCAGTTAGAATGTTTTGAATACCTTCAGATTTCTGCTAGGTTGCGTCCAACTAAAGACTTTCTTGTACCATACCACAAACCCTCTTTTCTACCATCCACAGACCAATTCAAAGATCTTCCCGATTGAAAAATCGAACTTGATCTTATGTCTAGTTAAATGGTAAAGATTGATAAGATGAAGAGATGTCATTGCTCATTACTCTTGTTTGTACCAATTTATTTAGTGCATCTCTTACCCAAACATATTAATTTGCCCCTTTGTGTGAAAACTATATTATTTGCACACAAAAGTTTCTTAGAATGCTTGGCGTTCTGCTCTCCCCAATAAAAAATTTGATTTGCCTTGTTGAGCACATTGCTCTTCAAATTTCTTACACCATTGAACTGTAGATCCCTTTAACTTTATCGTCATGATTGTCATTCCACTTGAACTAATCTATTGAAGTAACAGCACCAAGTTGAGGCTCATTCTAAATAAATACAAAGTTAAAGCTCTGAATTTATCAATACATTTGAAACTAAGTCTACAAACAAAGTTGCATCGGATTAAATATTTGCAATATCATCAAGTAATGTCATTTTTTTGCCTATTCTTCTTTTAAGAGCTTTCTTGAGATCACATTGATCTTTCAAACAAGAAGTACTTATTCATTATTGTATGCAATACAGGCCCTTATTAGAATCCAGTTATTCCCTTTATTTATCTTCAGTTTAATAATGAACTCATTAATTAAAATGTTAATCATCATTTTCCCAAAACACATTTGGGGAAAACAGAGAGATTTGAAGAGTTAGATAACATATACCTTATTTTAATATTTCTAATTTTTATATTTGTTATTATGTGCTTTATTTCCATCAGTTGTTCTAATATTTGTTCGTGCTTTAAAATTTGCAGTGCTATGAAGAACATTCTTCAAGTAGATGCTATATTTACGATAAGATGCAGATTACAAATAGTGCACGACGTTTATGAGAAATTCGATACAAATTACGAAAACAAGTTTTGTGAAAGCTGCTTTGGATCTCTCCTAAGGTTGAAAGATATGAGGTTGGCTTCACAGGTCGTACATCAATTGTTATTGGGAAAGATGAAGACCAACAAAAAAGAAGTATGGTTTAAAATAGGAGAGAAACAGGTAATATTTAGGTAAGAAGAATTTGTTTTAGTAATGGGCTTAAGTACAGATGATGATAACAACGTAGATAAGGCCTTGGGGACTGAGTGTCGGATCTTAAAAGAGTATCTTAAAAAATGTGGGTTGAAGTTTACGAAAGGAGATACTTACAGTACATTTGTAAGTTGCAGCAACAAGTATAAGTTGGAATTGATCGTAATCTTGGTGTACGTCCCGTGAGCCAGCCATGAAGGAGAATACCTACATCGATTTATGGTGGCTGGACTTGGTGGACGATCAAGATAGGTTTGAGATGTATCCATGGGCAAAGTTTTCATTTGAATACACGATCAGTATAAGTTGGGATTGATCGTAATCTTGGCGTACGTCTTGTGAGCCACAGAGGAAAATATCTACATCAATTTATGGTGGCTGGACTTGGTGGACAATTTAGATAAGTTCGAGATGTATCCATGGGGAAAGTTTTTATTTTGAATACATGATTAGTATATTCAAATGTGAAATGGAAGGTAAATTGAAAGTTCGGACGTCGAAGGCGAATCACATTGTCGATATTCATTGCACAGTTTTCACCTCACTATAATGGTATGAACAAACAATACACTTGACTCGTATTATTTTTTTATATATAAATTTGTGTTGTGAGATAATATAATATTTGTTTTGCAATAGATTCGGGCATTCGAAGCAATCCCAACTTTGGGAATGAAGTTCGCTGCGAAAGATCTAGATGTAATACCAAGAATGGTCGCTTGGGAAATGTCGTAGAGGTTAACGTCTGTCACCATTGATAACATGTTGAATAAGAAGGACGTAAAATTCCCCTTTTTAAGTTTAATAGGAACAAATTGTGGAATTAGCTTAGTGAATGACTAATGACTTGCACGATTTAATATTTGCAGTTAGAGGTTAATTCCACATTGATTCCCACTGAAGTCGAACTTGATGAGGCCTATTGGAAAGAGTTGAAACCGATTATGGAAGAAGATGAGAGTGCTTCACACCATTCCGAAGTAGACGAGGTTGAGCATGATGCTGAGCCACAGCATGCATTCAACCAACACTCTTCTATAGCATCTCAACCACCATCGATATCTCATGAGATCAACATAGTATATTTATTGAGAACGGAAATGGAAAAACTTGAGGGACGACTACAGCCAGTCATATCAACTCGACTTGTTCAGGTGGAGAAAAAGGTTGATAGGTTGGTTGAATTGGCTGTAGCGGGTCGATTCCATTTAGCGATTAGTGCATTTGATGATGGCACTAGTAGCAGCTTATATACCAAAACATGAACCGAAGGGTAGGTTGGAAAAGGAGGCTAGATTTGATGATGTGACGGATGTGCTTGCAGATGAAAAAAAGGTGGAAGAGTCTGAAGAGGACCCAAAGTTAGAAGAGAAGGTCAAAGGAAAGAATGAAGGAGGGAATGAAGTTGAGACTGGATCTGGGAATGATATAGAGGAACAATAGCAGAAGATGAGCATCATGACGTTGAGAAAGTCATCGCTGATTTTGTAACGCTTGAGAAACACGAGGTGGGATGCGAATAAATCCAATCAAGGTATGTAAAAAACAATTTGAAGTTAATTTTCATGTCATTACATCGAACTGAAACAAATTTTAGATTTTTAATTATTGGTATTTGCAACATATAGGTAACAGTGTACAAATCGATGAGGTAGGATGTGATGCACCGAAAGGTCGAGGGTATCATTTAAAGAAAACACACATTTATTGTATTCTCCCTTCACGGACCTGACAAAGAGGAGAAAGTTGTCGGATATCAATGTATATGATCCTTATCGAGAAGTGGATCTCATGAAAGTTGAGGCTCTTTCCAAATTGATAGAAACTCCATCTTCTAGGTATATTATTACATATAATTGCACGTACATAAATGTTGTTATAGTTAAGATTTGTATTGAAATGAGTCCAAACTCCTCAAATTTGTAATAGAACTATATAAATATCGTTATGTTATCAAACTCGTCAAATTTTTTATCCTCCGCGTGGGCGGCGCTGCGGTGCCTAGGAGCTGGCACTATGGTGCCCAACTCTTTACCTCTCTTGATATTTTTCTGCTTCAGGAACGACTTAAATGTCGTAATTAGAATAAGTGCATGTTTATACTGAAATGACTTCTATGTCGTTATGTATAGCCACAACGACTTCTAAGTCATTACCAAAAATAAGTTAAGCAGTGTATATTTCAAACTGAAAGATATAGAAATCTTTTTTTTCTACAAGAACGATTTAAATATCATTACATTATTCAATACACATTTTGTATTGGAACGACATCTATATCGTTTTGTGTTTCAGGACCGACTTCAATGTTGTTATTAGAATGAGTGCATTTGTGTACTAGAACGACATTAAACACTTATGTTCGAGGAAGAAAATGCATATCTTCATTAGATTGAGTGCATTTATATCTACTGTAACTATATGAACGTCGTTTGCATTTAATGTGCAAAAAAAAGGCACAAAAACATAAAATGACTTTAATGTCATTTCAATAGTACAAAGGGTTTTTATAGCACAATGACTACAAAATTTAATAAAACATCTTGTGCTTCGAGTAAGTAGAAAATTATAAAGCTACAAGTTAGGATAATATTACAACTTTAAATTTCACAACCAGCTAATTGGCTCGTGCAAGTGGTTTGAAAATGACCAGTTTTCTTGCACCTACTACACTTACGAGGCGATGCGTTTGTCCGACTAATCATTTCCTCTTTTTTGCGGTCGTCCACCTCGTCTTCGTGCCAATGGTGGAAGTACTTCTCTAACCATCACATACTTAGGAATTCGCCATTTGACCTCATTTGGCAAAGGGTATACAAATATTAGTACAAAAGTGGCTACATAGGTTATAGTTGTCATCTCCTTTAAACCTCACGGTAGCAATTGCATGCACACATGGGAACTTGTCCAGATCAAACTTCCTACACGTATAGGTCTTTTCATTGAAGTCTACAAATTGGTGTTCTAAAATGTTACAAACCTGATAAATGTCAGGAGAAACTTGATTTACCTCCAACCCATTTGATTCACTATATTTCATACACATCTTTTTCTCTAAAGGTGGCATAAGGTAGGTCACACATTTTTCTGTATCAACATGTCTTTTATAAAACCACATTTGCAGTGCCTCTCGAATATATTCAATATGGAAAATTCTCGAGCACTCTTCAACAACTATTTAGAGATTCTGCATTATTTGTAGTTATGATATTGTAACGTATCCCAGTAAAATGTGCTATAGCCCATTAATGAAAATTTTCTTCTAATAGATACTCTTTAATGCCCTTCTTTTTACTGTATAAAGCTGCCATGTTAGACTCAAATTTCGGTATAGTGTAAGTCTTTCAAAGCGACCCTAAATAAAGTTACAAGATCACTTAGTTGAAAATTTGTCTTCAAGTTCTTTTGTAGGTGAAATGTGCAATTACCATGATGAGCATATTGAAAAATATCTTTAAATCCATTTTTGATACATGCTGCACAGTCAAATATAATCACAAACCCATTTGTATCACTTATTATTATGCGCAGCTTCTGAAAGAATCAAGTCCAAGATTTATCATTATTCGAATCAACTACTCCCCATGCGAGTGAAAATATTTGAACATTTGCATCCTGACAAGTTGCTACGAACAGAGTACCTTTCATTCTCGATTTCAAGAATGTATCATCTACAGATATTACCCTTCATATCGAGTTGAGGAATCTACTTAGTTCCAATGCCATAAAAAAGTACTTAAAGCGCCGATCATCACTAGTATGAATGAATGTCAGCGTACCAGGATTTTGCATCTCCAAAACTTGACAATATGCTGGTAATTTTGCATAACTCTCACAGGGTTCTCCATAGATCAGTCCACAAGCAAAATATTTATACGCTTTAGTATAGATTATGGCTATGTCGAACTCTCAATGAATGTCATTAATGATGTCTCTTGGTTTGTAAACTCGATTGGCATCTTGATACTTAGGGACGATGTGGTTTCCAATGTCAAATATGAAGCATGCTTATGGTCTCTGCGATGAATGCTCAGTCTTTGCGATGAATACTCATGGAGCAAGAGTGATGACCATTATACTTTCGAACTTTGAAAATAGGACTTTGTGCGATCTTTGTTGCTTGCAAGTGCTACCTGCAATTTTCATCAATACAAACAATTGTATACGTGCTCTTATTCGACTTCTTAACTCTATATTCGAAGTGAAATTTCACAACCAGCTATTGTAACTTTGATATTAGCTCATATTTTGATTCAAACAACTAGTTTACTTGCACATTTTCATTTTCTGGAATTCTTACTGAAGTTCCGCAGCGAAGCGAAGTTACATTTGTATATTCAATCCGAATACATTCAACATCATTATCATTCGCTACATTCCGACTATAAAGTTCATCCATGGGTAACTCCACATCATTATCACCTGCTATAGGAAAATTATCGTCGCCATCCACTCTTCTAGGACTATCTTCACTTACATCAAAATTATTACAATTGACAAATATGTTATCACCATTGTCATGGTTACCATCGTCATCCGTTCGATCATGTTTCTCCTCGTTGTTCATATTTGCAATTTGTCATCTACCCTCTATTAATAATAAACATCCTTCATTACCAAAATCTTCTTGATTTTCAACTTCATTTGAAAGGGTTACACAAAGAAAAGTTTCTTTACAGACAGATAGAAACCACTTCACGTTGTTATCACAATCAATTGTGGTCGGAGTAGCTAGAGTTTTAGACATTATAGGGGCAAGATCTGAAATCTCCATTTTGTATAGCCTTGTATTGACGTTCAACACCTCTTTGATTTTATCGTATAATTCTACATAAAAAATAGTTTTCGCAACAAGAATAGGAGTTGTTTTTTCTCTGCCATTCCCTACATATTTTCATTTCCATACACCATCAATCGATTACTCATATTCAATTGGATAACAAACTGATATCCATACCATATTCGCGGTGTCCATAACTATAATTCAATATAAAAATTTCATTAAATTTCAAACATTGTACAATATTAATAATTATATGTAAGTTGTTACGGATTGCAAAAAAAGACATGTAAGTCATTATGTACAGAAGAAAATCAAATGTATGTTTTACAGTAGATCAATAAAAAGAATAGCCAAGCATGCCTTTGCCAACTTACATTTCACTCTAACTGATACAAATGACGGGTAATGAGAAAAGGGTTGGAAAGTAACCCATATCAAAACTCTAATCCAATGATAAAATGAATTCAAAATCACTGTTCACAAATAAAAATCATAAACATGTATACAATAACATGAAGAAATTATTCAAAAAATGGAGAAAGAAAGTAACCCAAAAATTGAAAATCACAACACCATCTTCTTCTCTTAATGCCCAACAATAATATTGCAAGATTTTATTACTTATTTGAATTAAATGAGTGTTCAAGGAAAAGGGAATGTAGAGTTTATGGTTTAATTAAGTAGAGAAAAATAATGATGACAAAGAAAAGAATTGCATACCTCTAAAGTGAGTTTTTGAAGAGTAAATTGAAGGAATGTAGAATTTAATTGGGGTCAAATGGGAATTGAAATAGGAATTATGGTAGTAATGTCTTTTTGTATGTAAGGTCATTTTAGTTATTTACAAATTATATTTTTCATTTTCCATATCTTTAGGCCTTCTACCTAAAAACTTAGTTTGTGGACTTTTTAAACTAATGTTTTATTTGAATAAACTTTTTAAATGAAAGTCCCTTTTTTCCCTAGCTAACCTATTATTATTGTGAAATGTGAACAATAAAACAATAATTTAAGGGAGCGACGGGTTTATGCAGTTCCAGAGCCAGCTTAGGTGCGGCAAGGTCCCTACCTCCATCATTGTTATACATATGCTCCGTTTGGTCTCCATTATTTCAAATTATAATTTTCTCTCTTATTTTCGATCACACAATTTTCATAAAATAATATTATACATGAATCGAAAAAGTTTCCTTCATTTTCATGTTCTCCAAAAAATACTATTCCAAAAATTATAAATTAAGATAATGGGGGTCAAACGGGGGCATATTCACTTTTGAAAAGATACTTATATCATATTTTTAAATCTTATGTAAATTTAATTAAATAGACGTATATAAAATTAAATTGAAATATACACTTTAAATTGAGCAGAACGATGGACAATTCATAGATTTTGTTAGCAGGAAAAAGAGCTTAAATAAGGTACAACACAGTGGGCGTATTACTTGAAAGACGTGAAGCGTGGAACTTCATAAGTATATTTTGTTTAATTCTAAATGATTATACTCATATATTGTAGTATAGTATGTTAATTCCTTGCTTCAAGAAGATTTACTAATTTTTCTCAAGTATTATGATCAAAAGCTGTAGACGAAATGACCAAAGTTTTGTCTTATTTTTTATAAAGTGAAGGTAGTTGGGTTGTTCCCCAAAGGTCCTAGTTGGGTTGTTACCCAAAGGTCCTTGATAAGGAGGACTTAATTCAAATAAGAGAAAATGTTATGATAATAATTGAAGATGAATTTTCACACTACTGTTGTTTTTTATTTGAATTAGTTTCTAATTTTGAATTTAAAGTGTATTTGATTACCAACATTGAATTTACATAAAAAGAAAAAAAATTTTAGGCAATTGAAATTCCTAGAAATTATTCCTATAACATAAAGCCCCTGTTTGAGCCCCATTACATTAAATTCTATTACATTTCATTTTTCTCTTTCGTATTTTCAACCACACAATCTTCCATAAAATAATATTACACGTAAATCGAAAACTTTTCATTCTTTTTCAACCGTTCATTTTTTTAAAAAACACTATTCCTCCCATGAATTTTTCCACTTAATGGGAATCAGACAGGGGCAAAAGAGCCACTTTGTGTGGCACTATTCATAGGAACAGTGCTGATTTTATTTTATATATATATATATTTTTTCCCTCTTCTTACTGAACATTTAAAAGTGTCAGTTCGCCACAATTCAATCCAAGACATGTACTATTTTTAAATTAAATTAAATGCTCTGCCAGTCTCATGACACATCTTTCTTTGCACACCATATTTTTCATTTCCTGTTGCTTTCCTTTTCTCTTTCTTTTGCTTTCCCATTCTTTCCCCGAATTTTCTTCTCTTCACCTTTCGCAGGGGTTTTCTCTATTGTCCTCAGTACTTGACTGTTCACATGGCCGGAATCAAGTTGCCGTCGGAGGATGTAGAAACCAAACCGCCTTCTCTAGAGTTCTTTCCCTATCGATAATCTCACACCCACTAAATGGGTTTTGTATAGCTGATGGTCTGTGATTTCAGCATCGTTTCTCCTTAACCTTTCACATAAGCTCTACGAAAGCGCAAAACTGCTGCTCTCGAGGTTTTATTTTATATTTGCTTTTCTTTCCGTTACAATTTTGCTTGATATGGTAATATCTAAATTTTTAATTATACGTTTTGTTTTATTTTTTTTCTTTTGGGTTGATTGGATCTAGGTAGAAGGGATACTGAATCAATTGCCGCAACTGGAGATCATGATATAATTATTGCAGGGATGTAGCAATTTGTTTGATTTAGTGTAATTTTTATGTTACAAAGCCAGTGTTGGAAGCTAGGGGCAAAAGTAGAGTTTGAATGATGAGAAAAACAAAATTATATTGGCTTGAAATTTTTTTATGTGTACTTAAGATTTTGAATGGTGAATAGTTGATTATATATTATTGTTGTAAATAAATATTAATTGTTGAATTCGGATTATTGATCAAGATTTTGTCTTTCACTGCTTGGTTTTAATTTATATAAATGCATTTAAAGAACTTAAATTTTTCAAAATTGTTTCTTTATTATATTGAGCATAATCTGGAAATGATAGTGAAAATGATTATAGATCATTTGAACTTCTATCTTCAAATTAAGCATCACTTTGTAGTTATTCTTAAGGTAGAATCATATTCTGCTTGACACTAACGTGTAACTAATTTCTAGAATATATTGAACTAAGCGTAGACATTCATTTCATTGTGTTGGCCAAGTATGTCTTAGAACACAAATTTACCTACTTAGCCCATGTTTGACCCCCATTACCTAAAAATGAAAATGGGGGAAATAGTATTTTTTTTTAAAAAAAATGAGTGATTGAAAAAGAAGGAAAAGTTTTCGATTTACGTGTAATATTATTTTATGGAAGATTGTGTGGTTGAAAGTAGAAGAGAGAAAAAATAGAATGTAATGTAATTGAATTTAATGGGGATCAAATAGGGGTTTAATCTTGTAGTCGAGTTTGTTTTATTGTTTACTAGGGTTGAAGGATTTTTCGAAGGGTGTTTGATTCTTCCTCATTCATGATGACAAAGACGAGATCAAAATTCGAGGAATTGGAATACTTGGGTAAATTATTAGTCTTCATATCTTTGGTTTTAGAAATAGTGCCCTACATTGTCAATCTTTTCCTTCTAATGTTTGTGAATATATCTTGCTCTCTATGTATTGATGCGGTGAGATATTTAGGGTTTTGAGATTCAAGATTGGTGACTGATGGAATCAGGGATGGATCAGTACGAGATCATGGAGAAAATTGGTCAAGAAGCTTTTGGGGCAGCCATTTTTTTCAATCACAAGCTGGAAAGAAAAAAAGTATATCATATGAAATTATATTAGTTCCATTCATTTTCGTATGATTTTGCAAAAACTGTTTTGAAAAGTTCGCAAAAATGTAACAGTTTTTTCCCCTTATTCTTGAAATGAAAAATAGGTACATGCTTAAGAAGATTTGGTTGGCTCGACGAATAGAATGTTATAGAAGATATGCTCATCTAGAGTTATAGTGATGTAATTTTACCTTTTATAATTTATTTATTTTTTTGTTGTATTATTTAAGTTTCATGACTAAGAATTTGTTTTGTGTACTAATTTGTTTGTTAGATTAGATTGGAAATCTTGATTCTTTATTGAGTAATTTGCTTTAGTAACCTCAATATTGGTGAATTAACTTTAAAAAATTCACTAGATTAATGGTCTAAGTGATTTTTTGCTCAGCTTGATTAATTGCTTTAGATTTGGTTTTGAAAAGAATGAAAAGTTCATTATTATTCCCTTTCCAATCCTTGGTGTATTCATGTGCTTAAAGTTTGATGTAACTACTTGACATAAATAATTTTTTTTATGTCTACGCTATTATGTAACCAATTACATTATAACACGTGCGTCTCACTAGTTTGAGTGAAAATTGTCAACTAAATGTGTTTGATTGATTTTATTTTCAACCTAGAAAATGTTATACTTGTCCATTTTTTATTAGTGGATAGATAAAAGAGAAAATATGTGTATGAAAATTACCTAAAAGATAAAAACTTACTCCTTTTAAAGAAAATATTTTTCTTGTTTTTCAAGGAAAATATGGACCACATGACCAAAAGTAGACAAATATTTACCATGGGAAAAAAATTAAACAGTACAAAAGTAGAAATTTGGGTGAAAAAATAATATTTTTCATAAAAAATATTGATAATTAAACGCACTCTTAGTGATATCAAATTCCTTTTGATGGTGGCAATTTCGTTGTAATATAATAACGTAAATTGATATTGTTTAGGATTTGGCATAGATTTAGGCCAATCACTTTACTTTAGAATAATGTTATCTAATATCATTGTACTACAACAATAATTTAGGTGGCATTAAGTGATAGATTTAATGAAAGGTAAAATTTAATTATTTATTGAATTATACATCTCATTTATTATCACATTAGTGTCACATGGACTTTTTTTAACTAGAAGGAAATTTAGAATTTTCGTACACATTTTATTATAAAAGAGTTATTGTTCAATTTTTTGGTATGTGATATTGAAAATTTTATGAGAAAAAATATAAATTTAATATATTTTTTATTTGTGGATTGTACAAAGAGTGAAATTTGTGGCGATATAAAGTCTTTTTAAATATTTTGCTATATAATTTTAAAATTTTCTTATAGTGAAAACTTTGATAGTTCATGTATTTTCTATTTTTCTCGAACAATGAAATACTTGATGACACATAAAAAAGGAATTTATCTTAATTCCCTACAAGACCAAATTAAGCCTTCGTTTGATCCCCATTAAATTTAATTACATTCCATTCCATTTTTCTCTTTCCTATTTTCAACTATACAATCTTCCATAAAATAATAATACACGTAAATCAAAAAAATTTCCTTCTTTTTCAACCACTCATTTTTCTAAAAAATATTATTCTCTCCATTTCCATTTTCAGGTAATGGGGGTCAAACGGGGGCTAAATAAAACTCAACCCGATTTAGTTTAGGTCAATGGAGCTATACTATTAAGTATTGCGAGTTTTATGAGTCATCTTCCATTTGTCGGAGAGTCCCTATTACCAACGCACATCCATCTATAGTGTGAGTTCTCTTCTATTTAAGTAGTCAGTATACATAATCGAAGAAAATCTATATATCCAACTATGAAGTAGACAATCATATAACTTTACACACTAATGATCTTTTTTATTTTTTTAAATTTATACTAGGATTAGATAAAACTCTCGAACAGAACTGATCGAACTAGACCCGAACCGAATTGAATCGAATCGAGCGATTCTTCTTAAGTTAAATACCTTGAACGGATATCTGAATCGAAAACCCACGAGTTTGGTTCAGTTCTCGGTTCTAGATCAAGAATCGAATAAGAACTGAATTTTCTTAATTTTTTAATTAATTTATTTTAAATAAGCCAAAATGTACTTTGGGCCTTGGAGTGAACCATCTTGACGATGTACTTTGGGCTTCAAGACACTGATCTTCTAAGGGCCTCAGCCACCATGCCACGTGGTTTGGCTTAGGTGGGCCAAGGGCTACAGTGAGTCACCCACGTGGAGCCACATGTAACAAGACGTAACAGTTTGAACTTGTAGACTCATTTATTAAAAGCCTGTCAGCTAAGGTTTTTGAGGGATATCTGCAAGACATGAGTTTGCAACACATGACACATATACTCTAGGGAAAGTGAGAAATGTGCTGGGTTGTGTGCCAATACAGTATGTTTTGCTATGATAAAATAATAATTCATAATAAATGAATTGTGATTTTATTTATCTATTACATTTATTTAGTATTGAGCATACAAATTAAAGTGCATATGATCTCTTGTAATAATATAAGTTGGGTACTTGATTTGAGAAATATAGTGTGGCATAACTTATATTTTGATTTTAAATAATTTATTCACAACTAATGTATAAGGGTTGACACATTGTACCGGAAGGTTGTAGTGTTGATTGAATCACTATTGCAGGTTTATAATTTGTCCTTATTACTAAAATAGTTAAAGATGACACTAGTACACTTGGAGTGTATTAAATGGACCACGTGTCAAGTTAATTTTATGTTGTACGGTTAAAATCTGATCTTAGTGTTTAGCGACAACTAAATTTCGACATTTGTGATTAGTTCGCAGGATCGCTAAGAAAAATGATGCTTAATTTAGTGAGAATAATTAGAAGGGAGAAACGGTCATTTATGCTCATACCTAATTATTGGATATTGGATTGGGATAAAATATATATACGGTCGGTCAGAGGAAAGTAATACAGATTTTATTCGATTCTATGATCTTATATATTTCAAGAGTTCAGTCTTTTGATTTTAGTAAAAAAAATAAAAATTAGATTGGGTTGTCTAGGGTGAACTAGATAATTATTGGAGCTTGGATAATATATGTTTGATCAGGTCCTTGTGATAGTTCTATAAGGTATTGGAACTTAATTACGATAATTATAATAGATTCGGGTTTAATTGTAATTGCAACAAAATTTTGTACTTAGTTGTAATTACTATGAAAGTTGTACAATCAATTATAATTGTAATTGAAATTTCAGGACTACATATGTAAGTAAATGTAACACGATTGCATTTGGACGTCAATTATAACTCATGCTTGAATTTTAACTAAAAAATATATTTGAATGTAAAATTATTATTGTACAAGAATTGTAACTATTATATTTCTATAAATAGAGATTAGAAAGAACCTAGAATTTCTACAACAATTATAATACATAATTTCATAGTGTTCAAATTTGGAGAGAGAAAAAGAAAGAAAAAATATTTTTCTTACTTTTATTCATATGTCTAATTCAAGAATTAGTTTCTTGATTTTATTAAAAGAAGGTGCTTATCCATCGATGTAGTTTTGATTTTGAAAAATATCATAGAAGATTTAGAGATTTGAAATATTAAGATCCTGTAATTAAAAGGGTGAAAGCTCGTAATCCACAAATGATGCAACAAGGAAATAATTAAAAATTTATTCAAGACGAAAGATTAATAATTCGTAGAATTAGAGTTTGTCTAGATTATAGTAGCTTTTTTTTGACAATGTTATATTTTATTTTCAAGTTTGTTTAGATAGAAAGTTTATTTAATTTCAAAGTCCTTCCTATATAAAGGGACTTAGGGCAATGTTTGCAGACACACTTGAATTATATGAATAAAAGTATTTCTCTTGCCTTCAATGCTTCCATTTGATCTCCCTTATTTCTTATTGTTCTTTATTAATTTCTATGCTTCTGCATCAATTTGGTATCAGAGCAATTCGTTTTCGTTTGGGCTGACATCCTTTGTGCTCTAATTTAAATTCCACGAGTCGTTTCCATCCAAGCCACTTACATTGCCCTCCACTACCCATCAAACTCTACAACCACCTTCGAAACACAACCTTCAACCCTTGAAACAGCAAAAAGCAGAAGATATTGTATTGATGCAGCAGTTTTCATTTGTTTAGTAGTTTATATTAGTTATAAAAAATAGGCTTATGGTTCACGCCCAATATTCAGCTTTTGATTCATTCTTCTTTTCTATCAGTTTAAAAGAGAGAGAGAGAGAGAGGATTATGGTACACTTCTACCAAATCAAAATTTCTTTTGCTATTCAACAAAGCCCTATATTACCCACAATACCGTCAGACAACCCACTTACCCAATCCAACATCTTGATAGCCTAATATACCATCCCATAACCTAAAGCCGACAAGATTTATACACAGTTGATTTAAATCCATATCCAATTACTCTAACCCAACCCACTACCTAAATATTACCACCTGCCTCTCTAACCACACCACATTCTCCATCTACCAATGCCGTCGCCTGCAAAGCTCCAATCCTCTATTTCATAATTGTCCACATCACCACCTACCTCAAAAGGAAGAATATCACCAGCTGCTGCCACTTGTCGTACATCGTCACATGCATCCTCAACTCCACTTCCACTGCCAACGGCTCCGCCATCCATAACCACATCATTTGCCTCGGTTGGCTTCAATCGCTATACCAGTTACTCACTGTTTCTGTGTTCTACTGCTTTGCACCCCTCGTCGGTCCATCTCACCTGCCCCAACCGCTAATCATCACACATTAGACAACCTAACACCTCCACGCTCTACCACAGGCACCCACATCTCAACATTCTTTTGACTTCTCTACCACTCTTTTAGAAACGATTTGCTGCTCCACACTACCAGGGCTCGACTGCTGCCTTCCTCGCCACTGCACCACAGCTTTGGTTTCCTACCAAACAGGTTCCAATTTCCTTGGTTGCACTGCCATAACACATATTGGTTCTTAAGTCCACAGCCACCTCCACTCCCATTATATAGATAGTTTTTGCCCTTGCCCGACTTGTTCTTACACTGCACGCCACTGTCCTCGTCGGTCCTGTCCGACAACTTTTTGGTTTGCTCACGGTTTGTCGGTAATAATATAATTCTGCTTTTATTCGCTTATATTTAAGTATTTTGGCTTTTAAGTAGTTTCATTTTAGTTCCAAGATTAAAAAAATAAAAAATAAAGAATTTCGAAGAGCTCAAACACTTGCATGAAGTCTTATCTCAACAAGTTGCCAACCTTTCAACTGA